ACATCAGCGACTACTTCATGGCATACATCTTACATCAACAAGATTAAAACATAACATTTTTTTTTTGAATAAAGCTGTTAGATTAAAACAGAACATAACATATTTCTGTTTTCAACGAAGCATCTTCATTTTGAATATATGTAGCCCCTTCTGTATTATTGTATTGTATAAATGTTCTTACAGTGCAACTCTAAAAGAGCGTTGTTATCAAAAGAAAAAAAAAATTTACATAATAATAATAGTAATAATAATAATAATAATAATTATTATTATTATTATTATTTTTTTTATTATATATTTAATATAGATGTTTTTGGTAGGGCATAACATTTTTTGGGTATCCGTATTTTTTCGAATCAAAACAAATCAAAAATTAGGTATCCGTAACATACGAAAAAAAATCACAAATATCTTCAAAAACTCAGATATCCAATCTTTGTCCAGGCCTAGTTCTTGGGGATCTGGTGTTCTTCTTATTGATTATGGTCAATATTACACATCGGGAATTCCGGATATAAGGACATCTTCTTCCCCATTCGATAATTTACTCCAAAATGGAATGGTAAATGAAGTGATGAACAAAAAATATAAACATTACTCCACTTCGACAATGTTTTTATTTATTGTTCATCACTCTATTTCTCATTCCATTTTACGTAAAAAATGAAGTAAATTAGGAAGTGGGGATGGAAATTCTCTAAGCAACATGATTAGTTTAGGCATTGCCATATGAAACTTGATTATCTGTAAATTTAAATTTTTTTAACAACAAATGCTTATATATTAAAATTAAACGCTTGATAGGAAAAGTCAATTACAATCAGAGAGATATTCGACTGTAACTGATAAGCTAACATAACTAAAACATAACAGAAGATAGAATTGGTTAAGGAGAGAATAAAATAATTAAAAAAATTTCATTTGTAATTCTTGAGTCCGTGTTCGAAAGAACACATATAATTTGAAATCGATGTTGAAGAACCCAACCAATAAGTGTTGAGAGGAGTTGAAACTGTCTCTGAATATGTCAGGTTCTCACAACGTTGCAATGAGATACAGAGAGACTGACTGAGAAAGACGACACACATAATCGTCAACGGTACAACCTCTCAAGGATAACAGTTGACAGCCTCTAGTTTAACTAATTTGACTAAAGTTTGATGTATTGTTGAAGAGAAAAAGATTACAAGGTTCAAATAGTTTATAGATCATCAGTATGGTCTAAAAATTTCAAATTTGTATATATAGTAACCCAATATGTATAAACAATAAAAATATGTATTGAAATTTTTTTAACATAATTCATGTGCCGTAATCAGTAGTTTATGTGGCTTATGCCATTGCCGATACTATAGAACCGGTAAGGATATTGTGATAGTGATAATTGTCTTACACAAATATTACGAAAAACAAATTCACACTATTCTAGATATTTACACGGACATGAAAATTCAGTGGCAGAACAAGAAATAATTTAACCTGAGTCATAATTAAATAAATTATTATTATTTATTTAATATAATTAATATATTTCTTTGTTTTTTACACTTTAAAGGATAATATAGTCAATAAAAAATCCTTTTAAAATTGTTAAATATACATTGAGCTGTTATTACTATAAAATGTACCCAAAAATAAACATAAATTAAAAATGTGAGTGTTTATATAGAAATAAATAGTTTTAGATTTCGGTGAGGGGAAAATAAAACAAGAGGAACAAATTATTTTTAGAAACATAATATGAAAAAAGTAAAAAAAAAAAATAACAAGAAATAGAAATATAATGTTCTTTGAATTTTGGTGAAAAAAAGAGAAAATATGTGGAAGATGCTTGCAAACGAATATTGTGTTAAATTAGTGAAAAAAAATATCAGATAGAAAGAAGGTAAAGCAACCTACGGAAGCTAAAGAAAATAATTAAACTGAAATTCTCATAGATGTCGTCGACCAAAATAGGAAGAACAAGTGTCAAATGGGGGGTTCAGCAGAAGTTATTTCCATCAAATGTGCCATTGACGTTACATGTTTTAGGGCTACTAAATTTGTTTATCATATTTAACTGGGGTCAACTGACCCTCCTCCAATACATGTGGATTCGCCCCTGTGAATATCTGCATTCGACCTATATGCATAGTAGAGAGAATATCTATCTGTGAGTTGTGCTTCTTTTTTAGAGATTAATCTAAATCATTATATAAGTATTGAATACCCAAATTAATAAAAAAAATTCTAAGCAGATAGAGTTTTGATCTGAAAGCAGATGAAACTAATTAACTTAATATGGTCGTTAATTCTTTCTCATAGCCCCTTTTCACGCACGCACGTATTATTAGGTGGTATAGACACAGTCTGTAACAACCCAAGACTTGGCCCAAAAATTTCTTCAAGGTAAACGGGCCTGTCTACGCCCCAATAGGGCAAAAGACCTAGGGTTTGCTTGCATTCCCTATAAAAGGAGCTGCCTCCTCCTTCTTTTGTCTCATTAGCAAAACTAGAAGCGAAGCTCTGCAGAGAATTCCCGGAGACTAGAAGCTCTAGCCGTCATCCTCTCCCTTCCTCGCCGCCGCCCTCTCTCTCTTCTCTCTCTCTCTGCGCGCCTCTCTCCTCGCCGTCTTCCCTTCTCTCTCCTCGCCGTGAGCCACCGGTTGGTGGTGGTGCCGTGTGTTGTGGAGGTTCCAGATCTCATTCCTTTTGTCTCTTGTTCCCAGATCCAGATCTCGGATCTATTGCTAAGGTGAGGTGACTCGACCTAGATCTGTTCTCCTATTCTCTATTCTAGCTGATGGTGGAACTAAGGTTTGGCTAGCTATTGTTTGAAAGTTAGGATGATAGATCATAATAGGAGTTAGGTTGTTAGATGATTGAATCATGATGCATAAGAACCCTCACACTGTTAAATGGGACTTAATGGACTGCCTTGTGTTGATGTGGATAATGATTGCTATGAATATTTGTGTGATTGATTGATGTCCCATATGTTGATTGTGAATGGAAACTAGGTTGTTAGAGAAAAGTGAATGATATGATCACTCGTGGTAGATGTGCATGTGATATAAGATAGGTGGATGTATGATAATGTGATGCTAATGATATTGTTGTTATATGAAGTGTAATGTGTGAGACACCGAGAATGGGTGGCGTCTAGAATGTAGGAAATAGTATAAGTGTCAATGAATGAGTTGAAGTGAAAGTTAAAGTGGAAGTGAACGTGAAAAGGAAAGTGAAAGAGTAAAGTGAACGAGTAAAGTGAAAGAGTAAAGTGGATGTGAATGAGAATGAGGAAGAGGATAAGAATGAGAAAGTAGTCGAGTCAATGAACATGTTTGATGTCTTGTTTGGGCCACCGAGAATGGGTGGGCGTCTAGAGTCTAGGATGTGATGGCCCAACGGAGGACGTTCCCGTGGGCGGAAAGTGAAAGGCCGTGTACGGACGGCGACCGCCAAGGCGGGGTAAAGTTAGGAATAGGCGCCTTAAGATCAAGTCAATGCCGAGTCGTGGCAAATTGTGACCATCTGACCGTGTACGGACGGGAGCCGCAGGTAGACAGTGTTGCACGTGGGCCAGCAGGTGCTGCACGTGGGCCAACGAGCTCCCCGCGGGTTGTTACAAGGAAGCTGGAGGGGGGAAATGGTTTCTCCAGAGTGGGCACCCCTTTCAGGTTAGGCCGGAACTCGTAGGGACATCCGTAAACGGCCATAGGTCTTAGAGGTCTAGGTTGATTGGCGAGTCTAGGTAAAAGGGATGATTGGGTGGTTGAGTCTATGTGAAGCAATGGCTGAGTCCTTGCAGTGTATGAACGTTAGGGTGCTAGAATTCTATGTTGAGATGTTGTTGTATGGCTTGTTTGATGCATATTGATTGTAGTGGCTAGTCGGTCTTGGATTCCGTATGAGGTAGCGTAGAGTATCATGCGGACAGGCTGGTCTAAAGTCACTTCACTGAGTAATTCCAATTGCTCATCCCTCCATCTCTATTTTTCCTATGCGCAGGACTATAAGTAGAAGTATGTGGATAAGGGTGGATCGGATTTCATTAAAAGATGTGTCCGCCGACTCCTGGGGCCAGTAAGGACACGTAGGGTTGTCTAATTGAGTAGACACGTGTCTGTAGCACCCGTTCGCCCCGGTCGGGCGCCGGGGGAACGGGTTGTTACACAGTCGACCATGTACATTAGCTAACAAATAGTGTTCAGTTTTTTTTGTTTTTTTTTTTTTTTTTTTTTTTTTTTTTTTTTTTTTTGATAACTCAGTATCCGACCACTAAGCGTGATCGACTAGCCCACCGGGCCTAAGCCCATGCCATGACAAGATTTTTAAGCGTCCACTTAAGGGCTCCTGGTTACGCTAAGTGGTCTGGAGCACCACACCAACTCCACAGATAAATTATGTGGTGGCCGGGATTCGAAGTCGGATGGCGGGCACCTCAGTCGAGGTTCCTTTACCACCAGGCTACGAAGCTCGATTTAGCTAACAAATAGTGTTCAGTTATTCGTCTTATCTTTTTGACAAAATTGTATTCGTCTTATACTCTTATTTCATTTCATGTAATGTGATAAATCAGAAATGCACGTGTGCATGGCCATTAAAAATTACATTACGCAGGGATCGGATACAAAGAATTAATTTTGCTGTATGAGTAAATCGTTTTCTGTGACAAAAAAGAGTAAACCGTTCTGAACAGAGTTGTGCATGGTCTAGTCACAAGTATCATTCAATCGATTTCTAGGTTTTGTTCTTAGTATTTTTCTAATCATGCTTACTAAATTAAAGTATTTATCCTTTTTGGACTAAACATTTAACGTAACACCGAGAACTGTTATCTTATTCATCAAAACAAATGATATAAATTACAAAGCAAACTCATTTCTCAATTGATGAGAATCTTCTCATCAACAAATTCAAATAAGAGACGACTAAAAACAGGAATACTATTTAAAGTTCACAAATTTCATACATAGCCATAAATTCAGATTTATAAATATTTTGACGAGTTTAAGAAATTAAGGGCATTGGAAGCCGCGTGGAGCCTTTCTGTCACAAACGTTGAGGAGCAAGCTAAGGTTGATTGGAAGATTAATGTTGATGCCTAGAATGCTAGCTTTAAGTGCGGTGCATAGACAAACCGCAGCTTCGACATCGACCAAACCGTCAATGAGGCTGCAACATGGCTTAACCGGAGGAGCACCTAATGTCACATTCAATAAGTTGAGCGCTTTAACACAAACACCGAGCTTTAGGGTATCTTTTGGGCATGTCTGGATGGCTGGAGCGGATGGGGTAGGCTTTGGTACATAAGACGCTGGTGGACAACGGGTGCGGCCCGCTTCCGTTAGGCTGAAGAAGAGGATGTTCAAGGCAAGGAAGATGGCAAGGGAACTTCTAAAAGCCATTTTGAGTAGCCTTGAAAGTAGATTGGAGTGTTGTGTATATGTTTGAGATTGGTGAAAAGCCTGAGTGTCTAAGTGGGGTATTTATAGGGTAAGTGGGATGGCTTGTGTAATTAATTAGACTGTATTAATTTGATCGTCCAAATACAACTTAGGGTTATAATAGTGATTTGAATGAAAACCAAAATATCAAGAATATATATGTAACACCGACCATGTGGCTTGCCCTAACCCCTAGGGTGTATTTGCTGGCGATCTGCAGTAAGAGTTTGGAACGAAGTGTATCAAGTGTACATTTTTAAATCTTATTTTGCAATCTACAAGAATAATAAAATTCTATAATTCATATTTATAGTATTACAATTTATTAGGTTGCAAAGTATTGTCTATAATCATAGGTATTATGATAGACAAAATTATCGAAGGCCATTTTGATGCAAACGTAGTTAGTAATACCTATATGCTAAATTGTTTGTTATTTGGATGTTGCACTCAAACGTAGTTCGGTTTTATAGTTAGTATTTTCATACAGACATAATATCTATATGCTAAATTGTTTGTTTTTATTCTATAATAACATTTAAATACTAACAGTTTAAAAAGACTAAAAATATGAATTTGGTAAAAATTTTAATTCTTAATGTTTTGACGAGAAAATACAATTTTACAGTTTTACGGTTTTGACAGAAAAAACTTGTTATACGGTGATGGTAGAAAAATACCTTTTAATTTAAAAATGTTATCTAATAAAAACTAAATTTATTTAATTTTGTATTGGTATTAAATAGTATTTATGTTTTTTGAATTTGGAGATGCAAATGTTTTTTTCGCAAATTCTACATTTTTGTATCTCAAATATCTTAATATTTTAGATATTATAAATTTTTCTTCGAGACGCAACATTTATAAATTGATGCAATAGTATCCAAACAAAAAACATATGAATATTTGCACCCACATGCAATGTCTGGACACAAAAACGAAAAATGGCCTAAAATTTTATTGTATTTATATTTGTTATTTAGAATAAATATATACCCATCATCAAACTTTAATATTTAAGGAAAATCCCATATATATCATTTATATTTATAATAAATGTTTATCCAAAAATAAAAGTCATTAAAAAAAACCTAAACACTTTGGGAGGCTTACTTGATCAACAATTTGAGAGAGTTCCAGATCTAGGTAAATCTAAGGAAATCCGAAATTTAGATAAATTATTTTAAAATTTTTTACCAGTTTTGAAGTTTCTGAAGAAATTTCAGAGTTTTTGTAACTACCTTTTAAATTATAAATATTTGTTTTAAAAAATATTTTGGTATTTTACTACTATATTTTTCTCATTTATGAAATATATGAAGTTTCCAAATATCTATTTTATTTTTTTTTTCATTTTAAATTTTTCATTTTTTTAAGTTTCAAAGACCATCATAAGAGGCGATATTATTATTCAGTTTTATAAGTTAAAATATCCTCCAAATCTTATTTGATAGATTTTCTTGAAAAAATCTTATTTTTAAATTAGCTGGAATTTAGAAGAATTAATACAAATGATTAATGAAATAAGTTTGGATTTAAATTTTCCCAAATCCTTGATCTAGTAAGATCCCCTTAACTTCATCTTCTAATCACTAAAGTCTAAATCAATATATATATCATATAATTTAACATTTACATAATTTAAAAAATTAACATTTAAAAGCTATTTTATCCTTAACAAATAATACATCTAATATAAACAATACTAGATTTTAATCTTTGCATCCACACAGATGTTTAATTTATCTTTTATATAAATATATATATTTTATACATAGACAGAGTTATATAATTATATAATATTAAATGTTATTTTGTTTTTCTTATAATTTTAATATAATATTTATATATTATTTTTTCAAAAATATGTTGCTATTTATTTTTTTGTCACTATATATTATATATGCGTCACGATATACGTAATCGTGTTTTATAAGTACCATCATATTAGTAATTCGTAAATACATTTCTAATCTACTGTTATTCATTTTTCCAAAAATTCGTAAATATATGTCTAATCTATTAAAAGTGGAGTACAAATTTAGATTACCCCTTATTTTGTCACTATATTTACAATACCATGCCACTGAAATATTAAATGAAACTATATTTATGGATCTTTAGCTTTTCCAAAATTAATAAAATAACAAATACTCCTAGTTTTATGCTCCATACCTTTTTTAAAATTAGTAAAAAATTTCCTAAATAAAATTTATATACTGTATAGCTATATTTATTTTGAACAAAATTATATCAATACAATTAACATTAATGCACATTCTATAATATAGATGAACTATTTATGTAACAATATAAGATTCTTTTGTCACTATAATCATTCCCCCTTTCCCAACGTTATTTTTATAATTTTTTTAATTTTGTTCTGAAAATTTCTAACCAATATAAATATATTACGTACACCATTTTAACTGTTTATCATATTTAATGTAAAAAAATATTTATATATATTTTTTATTTGTATTGTCTCATGAGTTATTGTTAAGTGTTTGCATATTTTCGATTAACATTATTTTTGTCCTTAACAAACTATTATTTTTGACACACACAATCTTTAAGAATATTTTTTACTATTAAAAACTAAATCATTTGTTAAAAAAATCATGCTCATTTCTTTTTATAGAGGAAAAATAGATATTTTCTATAATTTAGTTTATCTATAAATAAAATTCTATACCAGATTTAAAATATCTTTTATTTAGCATATACACTATATTTAAAAGCTTACATTTTTATGCTCTACTTAAATAAAATAAACTGGTCAGAAACATGATAAAAATATACGGGTTAAAAATCATCAAAATAACGATTCTCACACTTTTATACACTTACAAATGTTAATACATACATAGATCAAAAACCATGATCAAAATATAAATATGAAGTTATATTCATTGATATTAAAAAATATAAATATTTAATTTATATAATATATAAATAAAATATAAATTAATAAAAATAAAACTCGCTCGGGCGAACGGGTCAAGCTCTAGTTTACTTTAATAAGATAGATATACGTAATAGTTTACTTTAATAAGATAGATATACGTAGAAGATGTAATCAATAATTTTATATTATTATTTTCAAACCTAGCATGAATATCATAAATAATATTTTGGGTTTGATGTTAATATATGAGATTTTTTTTTAAATTTCAGTTGTGTTTATTCTACACATTTATAAATAAAATGTATAAACTTATGTTTATTTGTTTAGGTTACATGGTTAAATATATTATATTTTAGTATTATTAGGATATTTAGTTAATCTAACTAAAAACATTTCTAGTTTTGGTTTGGTTTAGTTTAAAACCAAACAAAACCATTTGGATTGGTAAAATCTTGAGCCAAATGGTTTAGACATATACTTTAATTTGGTTTGGGGTTGTTTGGATCCACTCGCATCAGTTCGGTTTGTTTTTCTTTGTCCACCTTTAGTTTTGTGGCATTTAAAAATGAATATACAATTTGATTTATCTAATACACATTCTTTTTATATTAAAGCATACAATACTAAAAGCCAGATATACTCTATAAAGAGGCTGCCACATCATCATAAATAATTGACCATTAGGAGATCAGTTTTTCGCCACATCACATACTGAATATTGGGCTTCTATTTTTTTCTTTATCCCTTTTGTTTAATTTTGTTGACCCATCAAGCTGGAGAACCCTCAAATAAATTAATGTCTCCTCCCCTTTCGTTTCTTTGTCAGATCCAATTCTCTAACTGATTGAACATCCATAGGTATGAAATTCACCGGAAAATCTGCGCCAAATAGATCTTCTGTTTCTATCGATGGCTTCTCCCCTTTCTTCCACAAAAGACTGTAACTACAATCAATGTGGCTCTGCGCCGTTCATCTTTGATCTGCTGGTGAAATCGTATCTTGATTCGAAAGAGACGATGGAGCTGCAGGGCCGGCGTTGGGCAAACCTGGAAACATTGGCTTTGGCCCCCAATTTTTTTTGAAAAAATTACATATATACCGGCCCAAAAAAAAATTTTTAGGCTCCTAAATTCGTAAAAAAAAAAAAAATTTAGGTGAAATCGTTCAAAAATCGCCCTAGGCCCCATAATTCTCAGAGCCGGTCCTGTGGAGCTGTGATGGTAATGAATAATGAGGAAGTTGAAGTCTAGAGGAATCTGTTTACAGATTAGTACTTGCAATGCTTTGATCTCAGAGGTCTCAAGGCGTAGAGATGCTTCCACTGGATATAAGCTTAACACAGAAGTTTTTGGATTAGATGAAGCTCAGAAGGTTAAGCCAAATGTAAACACTTTTAACTTGATGATGGTGAGTTTCTACAGAGAAGGGGAAACAGAGATGGTGGAGAGGATTTGGACAGAAATGGAGGGAGAAGTTGGATGCATTCCCAATGCTTATAGCTATAGTGTTTTGATGGAGGCGTATTGTGCGCTAGGTATGATGATTGTAACTGATTTTTCTTATTCAAAACTGTAACTTCTTATATTACACACCAAATGTATGCATCACTTTCTCACCACGAATACATGCGCAGGGTGACTTAATCCTTCATTGCAACTCCTCACACTGTATTCTTTGACGACATGGTTCCCAAAATCCTATCAAAACCGGATGCTTATTGAGTTATTGGTCTTCAACTACTCTTCATCAACGAGAAGGTAAGGCCTGATGTTCTTAATCCTATATTTTTCTTGCGCTAAAGCTCCAATACTATCAGGTTTGGGTTTAAAAAGACATAATTTTCTTGTGATTTCATTATTAGTTTCAGGATCTGCTGTTATTGACCAACTACACATTTTTGTAATTATTTTCATGATAACAAGGATGCAGGTGGTGACAACAATTTCATTGGCCAGTTTTGTATGTGATTCTTTTCATCATTCCTTTGTTGCAAATGGCGTAAGTTATTTTGTTGTGCTCTTTGTACTCTGGTCATTGTTATGCTTACCTTTCCACCAACTGAATAAGAAGTTAACTATCTATGTTTGGAACGACTATTATTCACTCTCTTTTTTATATTTTTTTACCATTTCTATGCGAGTTTCTTTATCTTTGTATATTTCAAAACAATTATCTATAAATTACAACTTACTAACTTAGCTATAAGTTTTAATTAGATGTTGCTAGATACACAAGCCATGAAGACAATTCTATTAGAAATTTCTTCCCTTGCCAGGCAGGTTAGCTATCTCATCATTACTAATTTATGGAGATGTGCCTCTACTGGTGTCTCTATATTCTCTGTATTTTGAAAATTTGGTTATTGATTTTATCTGAGCATGAAACATTAGGTAAAATTAAGTATTTGTGTTTCAGTATGATATTATATATACCAATTTAGCCTTTTAAATCTGAAGTTTATGATATCATTGCAGACTTAAACTGCTGCCAGCTACTCTAAAGTTTTGAGCTGTGAAATAAGCAGAGCTGAAGCACTTCTTATGGTCATACTATCCCTAATCGATTCAGTGGTAGACCCTGATCGTGCACTGTTTCAAGAAGGAACTCCAATGGAGTTTCAGCCCTTCTTGGAACTTAAGGTGATTTTAGTACTCAGATTCTCTGAAACCAATTAGCTTGACTTGAAGGCAGAGTCCTGTCCATTGTATCATCTATTTGAAATTCATGTTACATACTTATATGACTGGGTCAAGATGAATAGGATCATGGCAGCATATTTAACACACATATATGTATATATAAATTTGGACTGTTGGAAATTTACTCTGAACCATTTTGTGGTGTTGATGCAGGGTCTTAAGAAAGCTGATCAAGAGAGCATACTTGATGAGTTCAACAAGCAATGCCCGAGGTTCACACATCCCTCTGTTTCAGGGGCAATGCCACAAGTAGTTTTAATAAGTTCATTGCACTTACTGAAGCTTCCAAAAACCTCAAAGATAGAAGTTTATCATAGGTAATGCTTAACTCATTATCTCTCTCTCTTTTAACAGGACAAACAATCTTTCATCAGGATTTTTTTCACGTAGCTTAAGCCAGGCTCATCAGTGATTGCTTAGGAGCTTGAAAGCTACATCTCCTGAGTTTTCAGATTACATCAAACAAAGAGGATATGATCTCCATGATGTTAAAGCATATGTGAAGGTTTGTTTCCTTTGTCAATGATATGTGTTTCTGTGTGTTTCAAAATCTTTTGTCAAACTCCAATTCCTGCAACACAAATATTCATTATATATGTTAAATATGCCGGCTTTAAATATCAGATGACTATATTTTGATCAGTTGATCCAATGAATCTAATTTGTATACATTTTGGAAACCGAGTATTACTATTTTTGCCTTTAGTTTTTTTCTTTTGCATTCGTTACTGGTTTACTGTATTTCGGGGAGTTGTGGTTCCGTCTTCACCAGTTTTTCATGGGTCTTGATGAAACCATGTATGGAGCTGTGAAGTCGTCTCTGTTGTCGCGAGTTCCTTTGCCTACACTTGAAGAAGCTTACAACGTCTTGATCCAAGACGAAGAGTCGAAACTTCTGGGTTGCATGAATGAGGAGCGAACAGATGCTGTGAGTTTTGCTGTTCAAACTGCAAAACTACTGATGACCTTCGTACGGCATAGTCGCTGTACAATAACCTCTCAGGACAAGAAGATTCACGTGGTGTATGCTTGCAATAACCTCAACTTCATGAGCAAAGTTTGCATCCCCACCAGATGAACAGTTCTTGAACCTCTTGAAAGCAACCTCACTACCGTCTTGCAACACACCTTTGAACACGTAACCGTAACCTCCCCTGCCTATGATGTTGTGCCGTGAGAAGTTGTTGGTCGTTTTCTTGAGGAGTTGTTGGAAAGTGAACTTAACAAGAGTAGTGCTCTCGCTCATTGAGTCTAGCATAGAACGTGTACCCGCTTCTAAAATGTCTCTCTGCTTCATTTTCCTCATCTTGAAGTCTCTCTTTCTGCTCCTCAGGTAGTACCATAGAACTAAAGCAGAGGATACAAGAAACAGAGAAAATATTGGAACTACTATCTTAACCACCTTTTTACCGAAGCCGCTGCTTGAAGAAGAAGCAAGATCAACCTGAAACAAGCATTTTTCTGTACCTTATCCATCGGACCGAACCTATCGGCTAAAGCCACACCGTAGATTGAAGAAAGGGCAGTACAGTCCGAGACGTTCCCTAGAGAAGCTCCAATGAGATAAGCCTGAAACGCTGACAAACTCTGAGTAAAAGAAGCACAAAGAGTATTTATTAGGCTGGTTCAGTTGGTTTAGTTCAATTGGTTAGCTAGAATTAATTTCGGTTTAAGTTAGTTAGTTGGTTAAGTTTCCTTTTGCTTAACCAACAACGGATATAACAAACTCTTTGTACAGTTTTCTCATTTGAGCTGAATAATCAATTTTTCATCATCTTTCTCGTTCATCTTTTCTCTCTTTTCATCTTCATCATCTCCATGAAATTTAGCTTCAATTTCGAGCTCTTGATTTGATATGGTATTAGAGCACACACACACAACTTCCGCTTCGATATGAGTTTTCCGATCTCGTTGTTTTCGTGATTCTTGACTCTTCTCTGTCACGCGATTCGAGATTTCATTGCTCACATCTTTCTCTGTTTCGTGATCTTTCTTTGATTTGGATTCCGATCTTGACGTTTCTTATCTGGAAATTGATTGATTTCTGTATCGATCGTTGTTTCTTCTAGAATTTTCTTATGGCGTCATCTCATTCAAATCAACACTCGGAGAGATCAGTGACTGATCTTTATGATAATCCGTTCTATCTTCATCACACCGATCATGCTGGCCTCGTTCTTGTTACGGATCGTCTAAACACAGCATCGGAGTTTCACTCTTGGCGACGTTCGATTCGTATGGCGCTGAATGTTCGTAACAAACTCGGGTTTATTGATGGTACGGTTGTTAAACCAGTGTCTACGCATCGTGATTTTGGCGCTTGGTCTCGTTGCAACGATATGGTGGCTACGTGGCTGATGAATTCTGTTTCAAAGAAGATTGGTCAGAGTTTACTCTTTATCAACACGGCAGAAGGTATCTGGAACAATCTCTTAGCTAGGTTTAAGCAAGATGATGCGCCTAGAGTCTTTGATATAGAACAGAAATTGAGTAAGGTTGAGCAAGGATCCATGGATGTTACAACATATTATACTGAACTTGTGACTCTGTGGGAAGAACACAAGAATTATGTTGAATTGCATGTTTGTACTTGTGGCAAATGTGAGTGTGATGCAGCGGCTCTTTGGGAGAAGTTACAGAAACGTAGTCGAGTTACTAAGTTTCTCATGGGACTTACTGAATCGTATGAACACACACGTTGTCATATCTTGATGTTAAACCTATTCCAACTATTGAAGAGGCGTTCAATATTGTGGCTCAAGATGAAAGACAACGTTCTCTCAAACCAGTTACTCCAATTGATAATGTGGCTTTTCAGAACACTGCTCCGTTGATGCATCCTACTGATGAAGCTTCTTATGTTGCTGCTTATAATACTGCTCGTCAAGCACAGAAGTCAGTGTGTACACATTGTGGGAAACTGGGACATACGGTTCAGAAATGCTTTAAGTTACATGGATATCCACCTGGTTATAAGATTCATTGCACTTACAAGAACCAGAATCAGGCGAAGAATGCTCAAGTACAACAACAACAACAAACTTTGCAAAATCATACTGCTAATGCTATTGCCAATGCGGGCATTTCAGCCTACTCAACTGGTTCTTATCCTACTGTGACTACGGATGGAAGTAATGTTCCACTGCAATCTTTCACACCACAACAGATTCAACAACTCATTGCTCAGTTCAATTCTCAAGTTCGAGTTCCAGAGCCTCAAGTCCCTTTCTCAGCGGCTGTGTCTAAGGCAACTATCACAGATAATGGAATCATGGCTTCTACTTCAACCGCTGGTATAATACATTTTCCTTCTCAAAGCCTTACCTATGACAATGATATTTTGAAATTTCAGAATCATTGCCTTTCCACTTTACCTTCCTTTTTACCTAGTGATGCTTGGATTATAGATAGTGGAGCTTCTAGTCATGTATGTTCAAACCAGAAAATGTTTACTACTTTAACACCAGTTTCTAGTGTTTCAGTGTCTCTTCCAAATGGTACTAATGTTCCTATTACACACACTGGCACGATTCATCTTAGTGCATCTTTGATTCTTTACAATGTTCTTTTGGTTCCTGATTTTAAATTCAACCTGATTAGTGTGAGTTGTTTGGTGCGTTCTTTACATTGTTCTGCTCATTTCTTTCCTCATGGATGTTTCATTCAGGCACTTTCTCAGGGCTTGATGATTGGGAGGGGTAATTTGCTACGAGATCTTTACATTTTAGATACGTCTGCATTCACTCATGTTTCTCTTCCATCATCATCGTCTGTTCCTGCTTCTTTCTGTGGTTCTACATCTGTTGAAGAATTTGTTTGGCATCAACGTTTAGGACATCCATCATCCTCTGTTCTGCACACTATTTCATCTCATCTGCCATCTTTCAAGTCATCTACTACATTTACTTCACATTGTTCTATTTGTCCTTTGGCAAAGCAGAAACGTCTAGCTTTTATCTCAAATAATACTTTGTCTTCACATCCGTTTGATCTTGTACATTTAGATGTTTGGGGTCCTTTTCAAACTGAGTTTGTAGAAGGATACAAATATTTTTTAACATTGGTTGATGATTGTACTCGAGATGGGTTTACATGTTAAAGAATAAAAATGATGTTTTACATGTGTTTCCTGCATTTCTCAATCTTGTTTCTACACAATTTGATAAAAAGGTTAAAGCTATAAGATCTGATAATGCTCCTGAACTTGCTTTTCGTGATCTTGTTGCTAAAACTAGTATGATTCACTATTTTTCTTGCCCTTATACTCCTCAACAAAACTCTGTCGTAGAGAGAAAACACCAACACTTACTCAATGTTGCTCGCTCTTTGTTGTTTCAATCTAATGTACCATTAGGTTACTGGAGTGATTGCATACTTACTGCAGCCTTTTTGATCAACAGAATGCCTTCTCCTTTACTTAACAATGTTTCTCCTTTAGAACGTCTGCAGGGTAAATGTCCTGATTATTCTCAATTAAAAAGCTTTGGTTGTCTTTGTTATGCATCTACATTGTTAAAAGATCGTAATAAGTTTACACCACGAGCTTCTCCTTGTGTTTTACTCGGTTTTCCATTGGGATTTAAAGGATATAAACTGTTGGATTTGGAGTCACATTCAGTTTTCATTTCTAGAAATGTGATTTTTCATGAAAAAGAATTTCCTTTTAAAACTTCACATCGTGTCTCTGATTCAGTAGATATGTTTCCAAATTCTATTCTTCCTATGCCTGCTCCTTTCCACTTTGTTGAGTCTATGCCATTACCTGATTTTCATAATGACTGCAACATTTCGTCTCATAATACTGATCATGTGCATACACAATCTAGTACTATTTCTGGAACTACACATACTGAAACACAAAATTCTGGTGATACTGCAGTTCATATTGATAGGCCTAGATGTACTACTAAAGCTCCTTCTTATCTGTCTGAATATCACTGCTCTTTAATTCATTTTACAACCTCTTTTTTTTCATCTACACTTTCCAAACCTGCCCCTATTTTTCCTACTCCTTATCCTTATTCCTCTGTTATTTCTTATGACACTTTAAGTCCCTCTTACCGACCCTATGTCTTGACATACTCTTTGGAATGAGAATCTAAAACCTTTAAACAAGCCATGACTTCTGATGTCTGGACACAATCGGTGAATTTGGAACTTGATGCTCTTGAGCAAAACAAAACTTGGGATATTGTTACTTTGCCTTTTGGGAAAAATGTGGTTGGTTGCAGGTGGATCTTTACTCTGAAGTACAACTCAGATGGAACTGTGGAGCGCCCTAAATCACGTTTAGTAGCTCAGGGATTTACACAGCAAGAAGGAGTTGATTATTTAGAGACGTTTTCACCTGTTGCCAAGTTAACTAGTGTGAAGCTTTTATTGAGTCTTGCTGCTGCGAAGGGATGGAGTTTAACACAAATGGATGTGTCTAATGCTTTTTTGCATGGGGATCTTGATGAGGAGATTTATATGAGTTAACCTCAAGGTTATACACCTGCTCCTGGAGTTGTTTTACCACCAAATCCTGTCTGTAAACTACTGAAGTCTCTCTATGGCTTAAAACAGGCTTCAAGACAGTGGTATAAGCGTTTTTCTTCTGTTCTACTGGGAGATAATTTTGTCCAATCACCTGCTGAGAATACTCTCTTTGTCAAGAGTTCTCTGGATTCTTTTGTTGCTGCATTGGTCTATGTTGATGACATTCTCATTGTGGGCAACAATGACACTGATGTGGAGAATCTTAAGGCTTTGTTACGTTCAGAATTCAAGATAAAAGATCTTGGTCCTGCACGTTCCTTTCTTGGATTGGAGATTGCTCGTTCTGCCTCTGGTATTTCTCTCTGTCAACGAAAGTATACATTGAATCTTCTGGAGGATTATGGTCTGTTAGGTTGTAAACCGAGTTCTGTTGCAATGGATCCTAATCTACATTTGACAAAGGACCTTGGAAAGTTACTTCCTACGCCAACACAGTACAGGGAACTCATTGGACGCTTATTGTACTTGTGTATCACTCGACCAGATATTACGTTTGCAGTTCATCAGCTCAGTCAATATCTCTCTGCCCCGACTGATGTTCATTATCAAGCAGCTCTCAAAGTTCTTCGTTACTTGAAGAACAATCCTGGTCAAGGGTTGATGTATGCGTCTGATAATGACCTCTGCTTAAGTGCATTTGCTGATGCAGATTGGGCAGCTTGCAAGGATACGAGGCGGTCTGTTACTGGTTTCTGTGTTTATCTGGGTAAGTCTCTAATTTCATGGAAATCTAAGAAACAGGCAGTGGTTAGTCGAAGTAGTACAGAGGCTGAGTACAGGAGTCTTGCTCTTGCTACATGTGAACTCATTTGGTTACAACAGCTTCTCAAAGATCTTCATGTTACAATGACATCGATTCCGAAGCTCTTATGTGACAATAAATCAGCTGTTCACATTGCGACTAATCCCGTTTTCCATGAGCGTACTAAGCACATCGAGATAGATTGCCACACTGTTCGTGATCAGATCAAAGCTGGATGTCTTCTTGCGCTTCATGTCTCGTCTAGAAACCAACTTGCAGATATTTTGACTAAACCTCTGCAACCTGGACCATTCCTTTCTATGTTACAACGTCTCTCATTATCAAGTCTTTTTCTTCCGGTTCTGAAGCCAAAGACTTGAGGGGGGTGTATTAGGCTGGTTCAGTTGGTTTAGTTCAATTGGTTAGCTAGAATTAATTTCGGTTTAAGTTAGTTAGTTGGTTAAGTTTCCTTTTGCTTAACCAACAACGGATATAAACAAACTCTTTGTACAGTTTTCTCATTTGAGCTGAATAATCAATTTTTCATCATCTTTCTCGTTCATCTTTTCTCTCTTTTCATCTTCATCATCTCCATGAAATTCAGCTTCAATTTCGAGCTCTTGATTTGATAGTATTACTCTCAAGAGAGACGTTACATCTCATCACAGCCGTCCTCAACGTGGATTTAAGGATCAAGGCTTCAAACTGAGACCTGGTGGTGATCTTCATACATCCCTGGGAGATCCACGGCATCTGGAAACCACATCTTGATCTGACGTCGAAGCGAGGGAGGAATCCGGAGATGGAAGATTGTAAAGCATCCCAGCAAGAGGTGGCGAAGGAGAGAGGTGGGGTGAAGGAACCGCTTTGACGGAGGTGGTGTGAGTAGACAAGACGGAGGCCTTGGAGGAGGTATTGACAGGTGGTGGAGCCGTCTTACACTGTGGTTGATAGATGAGTACTTACCAATTTCTGTTTTTTTAGTGTTTGTGTGATTCCAGTTTGCTTTGTATGTTACAGAATTGAATCTTAAAGAGTTTCTGATTGCATTTTGAGCAGCTTCACTGACCAGTAGAACTGCTGATTCTCCACATGTAGGTATTAACTTCTCTTCCTCTTGCTAAAATTTTGAGCTTTAAGCCGATTACTCATATCTAACTTTCCGTTTCAGACCTAAAATGCCGTTGTTGCTGTTCTTTCTATCAAGAGCTGGAGCGATTCCCCAAGGAAGAGAAACCAAACCCGAGAAATGCCACACCACAAAACGCAGACATCTACTCCGATAATCACTTCAGAAATATTGGTACGTCTCTCTGCCTTCCCTTACTATGAATGAGAAACTCCTTCCCCAATTTGTTGTTACTGCCAAGTTAGAGAAGCTAAGATAACCCTCCTCTACTTAATTCTTCTACACTCAAGTACTCGGCAGGAAGGAGGTAAACAAGATTATTACCCTTTCATATTAAAGAGTGGATAGCACTTTCTAATGATTCAATAAAATAAATTGTGCAGAAGGCGAAGCCGAGGACGATGTTGAACAAAGACACACAGCTCATGGAACTTAAACCAAACACTTGAGCTTTACAAACAAGCTTGAGATGTATAACTGCTTTGGCTTGGAGCGTTCATGGGTTCTAAGCTGGCAGCACTCTCCTGTCTCCATTTTTAACACGATCAACCTAGAGCATGTTTGTTGTGTCTCCTCCAGCTAATGTCACGGAGACTCTTCTAAGTAAGAATCCAATACTATGCTCTAAAAGTCAATCTTTACCTTAACATTAATGCATTGTGGCTTGATGAAGTTACATTCCTGCAGAGAAGATCCCAGTTCAGTACAGTGGTATCCAAAGAGATGATGATACCAAATTCTCCAACGAAGCTGTTTCTGAAGTTGTCGTTAAGCTTCGGTCATCTGTAAACATCGAGATCCCAGCTTCTGAGTTCTGAGGTAACAATTTAAAAACGAAACTCCTTTTTTTGTCCAGGAGTTGTAAAGATTGATAGCAATGTTTTTGTTTAGTTCTTCTCTTTTTAAATCAAAGTTTATCTCCAGATTGTTGATGACTTGTTATATATTTCAAGTTATTTCTTAGAGGTGTAAACCTTTTCCTTGTGTTTATTACAGATGTTTTGTTCAAACTCCATTGATACAACATTCTCTTTGATAAGTTCTGAAACAAAAGATACCTCCGAAGGACCCCCTGATTTTGTTGCTGGCCAGGGCATGTATTACCCGGTTGATCCCAATTATGCCTATTATTGTACACGTAAGTAATTTGTGTTCATTATTGTATCAGTTTTTTCGCTTTGATTTCTCTAATAATCTTGATTTTTTTTCAGCTTATGAGTCACTCGGAGAATGGTCAACTTGACTTCTCTCGGAATGCTATCTTTTAGCTGATAGGAGCAAGCAAAGATTTGAACCCCAACATGTTGATGAGATGTAAAAATCCAAGGGCTTCTAATGTTGAGCCACTAGCTTATTTCGTTATGAGCTAACCATTGTAGACTATATATTGTGAGATAGTCAGTATCAAATAAAATTTATTTACTCTTTAAGTAGTTACGTCTTTATTTTTTTTTTGATTTTCAGCCAGCTTTTGTTTACCTCTGTAATACACTATATCTTTTCTTTCTCCGGAAAAACATTTACATAAATTTATGTAATACAAAATATTAATATACAAATACTTGAAATCAGCAACTCAAATTAATATATTTTCATTGCATAACATTTACCAATCTAAATTTAAAATAAATATAAGAAAGAAAATAACTACGTCCAATCGTATTATATCCATCAACCAGAGATAAACACAAAGCACAAAGATACAAACTCTGGCATGTTGGTAACAGTTTATTTATATTTAAATATAAAAATATATTTAATGTATTAGAACTGACAATAAAATGAACCATAGAGAATTTAAATTTCATTTTAGTTTATTTATTGTCTAAAATTTACTTTAATTTTAATCTTTTAAACTATATATAGGATGTGGGAAAGGTGAATAAAAAACTAAATACACATTAGTTAATTAATAACTTTAGTTAGCATCTAAATATATTTATCTTAAACTTTTAAAATTTTATCTAAAACAATTGTTAAATTTATAATTCTTTGAATTTATTTTTGGCTTTAGTGCTCTTTATTTATTATTTCATTTTTAGTTTCTTAAGAAGTATAAGACGCCTTACAAATAGGCTCTTTACTTGATTTATTTCACCTGATTAATTAGATTTATCAATCTTAATACATTTACAGTTATGAAATTTTGGTATGATGTACACATTAAAAATCATTATTAATGTAACCAAAGAAGCTAATTTAATACATCAAAATGAAACTTCAAAGAATAAAATATCACATGTCCACAATTATGTGGCTATATTATATGAAATGGATAAACAATTTCTTTTTGACAGTTATTAAAGAACTAAAGAAAAAAAATCACATAATATATAAATTTAAAAAATCCATTTAATTAGTTAACTACATATAATTTATTTTAAGAACCAATCAAAACAATGACTAGAAATTATTAAAAATCTATTTAAAATAAAGATGTATTCAAACAAAATTGTACATATTAACTACAAAACTAGGAATTTAACAAATTGAAGATATAAGTGGAGATTAACAGTATAGGAAAATAATGCATAATTAAGTTATTTTTTGAAGTTTCTAGTGGAACTACTTATTTTATTTTGTTTTAAAAATTGATAATCTCATTTATAAAAGTTCTGTAATAAAGATTAACAAAAAGGAAATTATAAAGTTATAATTCTAATTTATACCATGTAACTAAACAAGAAATTATGCTAATTTTTTTGTCAAACCTTTTAAAATATAAAAAATAGTATTTTTAAGAATAAAGACATATTCAAAAACAATTTTACATATTAGTTATAAAACTTAAAAATAACAAATTTCAGAGATAAGTGGAGATTAAAGTATAAAAAAGAATGAAGACTACTCATTTTCCTGGTTTTGTAGCTTACAAATCTAATAATTCCTCCATTTCAATTTATTTATCATTTTCTAGAATTCTTTTTTATTCAAAATAAGTGTTTTTATAGTTTTAATGTTGAGTTTATAAAGTTTATAAGCTTTTCTATTTTTTTATTGGTTGTAATGTAACTAGGTATATAAGTAATAGTTTCCTTATTTTGAAAATATATAAGATCAAATATTTTTTTTATCTGTGTGAACAACTTAAAATGACACTAAAATAAACAGAGGGAGTATATAAAAAAGTGTTATAATAAAGATTAAAAAAATCAGAAAGTAATAATCCTAATTTATATTAGAAAACTAAGCAAGAAATTATGCAATTTTTTTGTCACAACGGGTAAAAATATAACTAATAAAAATCATTTTAAAATAAATGCATATTCAAACACTGTAGTACACAGTAGGTATAAACTAAAACTGTAACAAATTTCAGAGATATGTAAAGAATAGTGGTACAGAAAAAAAAGAAACAAACTGAAAAATTACATTCCTTATTTTCAAGGTGTTAGTGAGATCACGCATTTTCCTGATTTTATAAATTGCAAGTCTAATTTATAATAACAAAAGTGTTGTGATAAAGATTAAAAAAAATTAGAAAGATATATTCTTAATTTATAGCAGAAAACTAAGCCAAAAAAATGCAAAAGTTTTGTCAAAACTAGTAAAATTATGACTGGTAAAAATATTTTTAAAATAAGAGCATACTCAAACAAAATAATACATAGTAGTTATAAAATAAATAAAAAATTGAAAAACTTAAAATACACAATCCGCGCGTAGCGCGGATAAAATCTCTAGTTATAATAATAACCAGAATCTACTGCATATTGGCAAGACTTGAATATAATATGAAGATGTGTTAATTACTTGATATCTTATCGTTATGATGATTTCTTATAAATATAAAGTTTTTTCATGTAATTTCGTTCAGGAAATATAATCAGGGAAAATTGTTTTTTATGCTAAAAAACACTAACATTGTCCAATTAGGCTAATTTCAGTTATGTACCCTTTTTGCCTATATTGCCCTTTAATATTTATGAAAATAAATCAAATAAATTGTTTTGCAGACCAAAAAAATGAAAAAATAAGAACTACCGATAAAAGATCTATATCAAATTAGATGAATTTTTCCAGTTCTAAAAATGTTTAAATCAAATTTTTGATTTCATTCTACAATAAGTAGAATTAGTATTCTACAAAGTGGAAAATGAAATCCACTTTTTTCATTGAATCTACTATGATTAGAATACATGATCTACATAAACAATAGTGATCTAAAAGTATTTAGAATACATATTCCGCTATTAATCTTTTCGTTCTAAAATCTTTAGAACTTGTTCTACATACTACTAAAAATCTTAAATTGATATAATCAAACATGTTAATTGTATTCTATATATAGTAGAATGCAAATTCTACGGATAAATATGAAAAAATCCGTAACTATAGGAAATTGTTAGATATTAATGATTATCCAATAGACACTTGTCATGTTTTTATATTAGATGTATCACCATTAGGTGTCTTGTATATGTAAAAGGAGAAATGACTAAGCAGTGATATTTCTTCTATAAATAGGAATGTTGTACGAATGAGAATGAATAATTAATATCCTTTGATCTCATCTCTCTCGTGAACACACAAACAAATAATCACCTTTCTTTTATTTTAATATTCAACACGTTATCAGCACGAAGCTTTGATCCTATATCAAACAATGTAATATCGGTGAGGTAATGTTTAGTTTATGTATTTCAATAATTTTTATTATTGTAATTTTATTATTATTTCGGAGTTAGAGACTAGGCCTTCTCCATTTATTTTTCGGGATGACAGGCGTTGCCTTCCCCGACTGATTGTTAAGAAAGACTATGCCTTCACGATCAGATGAATGCGTTGTAGGCTTTGCCTCCGTGAATAAAAAGAAAAGGTCAAAAATGGTAGACTAAGTCTCCTTAGACCTTGAATAAAAAGAAAAAGTTAACATGGCAGACTATGTCTCCCCAAACCTTGATAAAAGTGATCAACATGATAGACTATGTCTCCTCGGATCATTTGAAAGGCTAAGCCTCCAGTTTTATTTATGTTTTTTTAAATACTGCAATTTTATTTCTGCTTTTATATTATGCTTTTAATTTCTGCATTTTAATTATGCATTTAAATTCCCTTCTTTATTATATTTTTATATTATTATTCTATGAATACAGTTATCAAGTCGAATTTGACAAAGCTCGAAATAAATGCCCTGGATATTACAGGAAATAATTATATGACCTGGGCAGTGGGTGCAAAGATGCACCTGAGAGGAAACAAGATTTTGGAAACCATCGATAATACAAAAACGGTGTCGGATGAGAAAAAGGCTAAAGCCATGATATTTTTACGACACCACATACATGTGATCTTACCGAAAGCTAAACATGAGTGGATCCATCTCCGGTTCCAGGACTATAAAAGTGTTAGTGAGTTTAATTCCGCTATGTTCGGAATTACATATAGGATGATGTTATGTGAAGAGAAAATAAGGGATTATGATATGATCGAGAAAACTCTCTCCACGTTCCATCCTGGAAATATAGTCCTGCAACAACAGTACATGCGAATGGATATACCCGTTTCTTGGAGTTAATGCAAGTCCTCTTTGTAGCGGAGTAGAATAATCAACTCGTGACTTTAAACTATCATGCTCGTCCCACTGGATCTGCTCCATTCCCAAAGTGAATGTTGCATCATCCAGTTATGATAATTGGAGAGGACGAGGTCGTGGACGCGGTCGAAACCGTTATCATGGTCGTGGAAGAGGACGAGGAAGAAGATTTCGTCCGTATGATGAAATAAATAATAAAGATTTCCACGAAAATGAAAAGGGCCGGGATTATAAAAGGCAAAAGGAAGAGGTTTGCTACAGATGTGGCATGAAAGTTCATTGGGTACGTGGTTGTCGTACGCCAAAAGACTTAGCCGATCTGTATAGAGAACCCCAAAAGGGAAAAGAAAAAGGAGGAGGTGAAACAAACTTTATCTCTGATGAACCCGGGCCATCCTTTCATGGTTTAAATGATGATACTCATCTCGACGTATCGGATTTTCTGGTTGAGCCAGAAAATATCGATGAGTAAAATAAGATCAATGTGATATAAGTTTACTGTATTATAGTATCTTTTTTTTTTTGATCAAACTGTATTATAGTATCTATATCTTTTATTGT